ATGAGACAAAGTATATGTGAACTGCTGTATGAAAAGTGAATTTACTTTGTAAATCTTCACCCAAATCTTAATAAAAAAAAAAAAAAAGTAAAAGTAAAGATGTTTATTGTGCTACTGATAGCTAAATAAACATGTGTTGTCAGAACTAATGCATTTGAATTATGTTGGCAAAGAATACTGGATATACCATGGACTGCCAGAAGAACAAACAAACCTGTCTTCGCAGAAGTCCAGACAGAATGTTCCTCTGACAGAAGCGAGAATGGCCAGACTTTGTCTCATGTACTTTGGTCATGTTATCAGCAGGGACCAGATGAGAAGGATTTTATGCTTGGTAAAGTAGAGGGTCAGAGAAAAAGGTGAAGACCCTCAATGAGGTGGACTGACACAGTGGCTGCGATGATGGGCTCAAGTATAGAAATGATTGTGAGGATGACACGGACAGGCAGTGTTTTGTTCTGTTGTACACAGGTCACTCTGAATGGGAGCTGACATGGCAGCACCTAATAACAACCACAACCATATTTCATAGCATTGCTATGAGAATTAAGCTGATTAAGTGAGTTAATTGCTCACTGCACAGGATAGTGTTTATGCAGATTAAACATAAAATGTTAAGTGGATACATGAAAGGAAACTCTTGTTTTGGGGGATATAAGGGAGGAGAAAATTCTGGATGAACATGAAAAGAGTCTTCTTAAAAAGACATTCAATTCTCTAAATATTGCTCAAGGAGTCCTTGGTGACAGTCATTGGAGCAGTATCTGGGAGTTGTGAGTCTAATTTATTGGTTATACAGTGACAATGACTTGGTGCCAATTAGTTTGAAGAGGACGGGCAATCTAATTCAATGCTATTTTAGAGCCCCTGGATGGGACGAATTGTTAACATGCTGGTCCGTTCCAGTCTACCCAGAGGATCCTGAAAAGAAAGGCCTCGAAATCTACTTCCACAAACTCAGCCACTGAAACCCCTCGGAGCACAGCCCCCTCTGACGGACACGTGAACTGAGAGTTGGAGTCACCTTGATGGCATCTGGTTTACTGACTTTGTGTTCTTGCAGTCGCTCTGTTTCCTCTGTTTTATTAACAGATCAAAGTCTAATACGCTGTGGGGAGAAAGCTGCATCCCTTGTTGGCTTCCTTGATGGTGAAAGAGGTTCAACAATGTTTCCTTTGTGGAGCTTTTGTGAGGGCAAAATAAGAGCACAGCGCGACAGTCGCTCACCGAGGGCCTGGCACGTGACAGGCCATGTGATTTTCATTTTCTGTCTCTAAGGAAAGGGAACCCTTAACCGCAAGCATTTAAAAGGCACATTAAGTTTTTTGTTCTGAAATGAGAAATTCCATGAGCTGGAAGAAGATGGGAATGAAAGAATACTGCATTGCCAAGTTCATTAACCATAGATATCTCATTGGAGACGATGTCCTAGTTGTTTAAGTGGCACAGTAATAAGAATGCAAATGTAACTAGCATTTACCCTGGACCCTGCCGGGCTCAAAAGGAGGCCTCCTGGAGGCAGAACTCTCTCTGATTGCTGGTGGAGGAAGATGTGCTGCTGAAAGAGACACGCGCCCCTGAAAGAGACACGTGCTGCTGGGAAAGAGACGCAAGAGACACGCATTGCTGAGTGAGACACCGAGGGACCAGCATTGCTGGGAAAGAGACTGTGAGAGACTGTTGGCTGAGGGATGGTGGGCTGGGAGAGAGACTGAGTGTTCTTCCTGAACTTGAGTTGTAGCCTGGTGCTTCCCTAATAAACCCCATAATCCGTGAGTTCTGTGTGGCCACTGCAGCGAATTATCGAACCCAGGAGAGAGGTGGTGGGTGCTTTGGGAGGAACGGTTGGAGAAAGGGCTGGAGGGAGGCAGCATGTCTGGCCTGGCAGGAATAGGCCTTGGGTTACTGCTGGTAATCCTGTCCTCCTCTCGTGGGATTAGAGAAGGTCAGAACATGTGGCCTCCTTGCCGTTTTTGCACCTGGGCTCGATGTGTTCCAGGCACTGTTCTGAGTCCTTTGTCTTCCTAAACTCAGTCATTGCCGCAAGATGAAAACTGGCTGCTTTTCTGTTTGGTTTTCACATAACACTTTCTCAATGGGGTTGTGTTTGACAGATTTACTTACTAACTTATTTATTCACCCGTTCATGCAACTTGCTAACTTACTAACTTATTCATGCACTCAGTCATGCAAAAATGCACCTGGGCTGCAGCAAACACAGGACAGGGAGCTGACCCCATGGTGGCCTCACAAAGTGAGCACAGCTCCCCAATGTCCTAGGCATCTCCAGAAAGGACTGTGGGTCTGATTCTTCATGCAGCCCGCTTCAGGATTCCTACCCACAGGACGACCTGGAGCATGTAGGCAGCCCTGGCAACCTTCTCTATTTCAGTATCCATTAAAGAACAGTTTAGTTGATCCATGGGACACAGTCTTAGCATGTGCACAGACTCTAAAGAAGCTATGTGAACGTTCAGGTTTGACACAAACCAAGACATTATTGAGGTATGGAAATGTATCATGGCAACCATTAAATTATAGATGTTTAAATCTGGCTAGGGTCTAAAACTAGACCCAAATTTGATTCACAGCCCATGTTCCTCTGGGCAGCCACCACCCATCTCTCACTGGAGGCTTGGGTGCTGCTATGATGTTGAACAGGTGTGAGTGGAGCTTCTAGACTAAGACGGACTAGGAAGGAAGGTCTGGAATTCTACTTCCGAAAATTGACCAGTGAAAACCCTATGGATTGCAATGGTCCAATCTGCAATTGATCATGCGGATGGTGCAGGACTGGGCAGTGTTTCAGGCCATTGTGCGTGTCAGGGGCCAACTCCACATTAATAGCAAACCTGAAGAGAATGTTTTCTCAATTTATGTTTAGGAAAATATGCCCAGAGAAATTAAGGACTGGCCTGAGCTCACATGCTCAGGAAACAGTGGTTCAGAACTTGAGTCTTTCTCATTTCTTTTGGTTCTTCTTTCCTCTCTTCCCTCCCTTCCTCTCTCCTTTCCTTCCTTCATAAAAGGAAGAGTTGAAAGAATAGCCTCTCTTGGGTCTCTCACTATTCGTTTGACCTTCACCATTTACTTAAATTTCCAAGCCTTAGTTTCCCTACATATAAAATGAGAATAATTTTTATTTCAAAGAATTGTTGAGGATTAAAATGAGATAATGCAGGGTAGACCTAGCCTAGCACATTGATGTTCAATGGAAATCAGTCCCCTCGCTCCCTCATTGCAACTTGCTTATACACTCATTACTGAACTCTTCAGTTTATTCATTCTTTTGCCTATCCGTCCACCTGTGGGTGTGTAATGAGAGAGACATGCTCCGTGTGGCCCTGAGTGCTATAACTGAGCTCATACCTATTTAGGGACAGTAGGAGCCCTGGTGGTATAGTGGTTAAGTGCTTGGCTGCTAACCAGAAAGCTGGCCATTCAAACCCATCAGCCACTCAGCAGGATGAAGATGTGGTGGTCTGCTTCCACAACTGTGGAAATCCAGAGTACTTCTACTCTATGCTAAAGGGTCGCGATGTGTTGGAATCGACTCAATGGCAATGGAATGGGTTGAAGTTCTAACCTTGGGTACCTGTGCATGTGACCTTTTTTAGAAATAGCATCCTGGAAGATGTTGTCAGTTAACATGAGGTCATACTGGAGTAGGCTGGGTCCTCATCCAGTATGAGTGGTGTCTTCATGAGAAGAGAAGAGACACACAGAGAGGTAAAGATGGAAGGCAGCCAAGGGAGGGAGGAAAGAGGCGGGGATTAGAGTGATGGATTTATGAGTTAAGGAATGCCAAGCATTGCCAGGAGCCACCAGGAGCTAGAAAGAGGCAAGGGAAGACCTTCCCCTAGAGCCTTCATAGATATCATGGCCCTGCTGACAGCATGATTTCAGACTTCTAGCCTCTAGAACTGTGGGAAGATACTTGTCTGTTGTTTCAAACCACCTAGTTTGTGGTATTTTGTTAAGGTGGTCCTAGATGGTTTGCACTTGACTGCCAACCCAAAGATGGCCAGTTGATACCCACCTGGTGCCACCATGGAAGAAAAGACTGGCACTCTGCTTCCATTGAGATTAATAGCCAAGAAAACCCCTATAGGGCTCAGTCCTACTCTGTAATACATGGGGTTGCCATGAGACGTAACTGACTCAACGACAATGAACACTAACAATGGGGAAACTAATATAGACCCAAACGTACAGATAACTAATGGTAACAGAAGCCAGAAATACCTGCAGTGAGAGTTCAGCACCTGGGAGGTGAAGGAACACAGCGTTTGTTTGGATGTTAAGGAAGACTTCCCGAGAGGTGGGTTTAGCTGGGTCTTGCAGATTAGTTGGCTTAATAGGAAAAGCAATATGGAAGCACACAGAATGATCAGGGAGTGGTCGCCGGCCTGTTGTGCTAAGTGTAAGCTTATGCAAGGATGTTTGTGGAAGAGGCTGGAAGGCCTGGATTACACCCTCCACCTCCTGCAGTCGTGGAGATAAGGAAAGATGGCTTCCGTCAGCATCCCCCAAGCTCTGCCCTTCCTGGTTGTCTGTAAAATGGGAGGAGATAACGTGATACCCACCTCGTCTCCTCTGAGCCCCGTCCCCAGGGCAAACTGCTGATTCCTCTCCAGGAAGCGGATTTTCACATTGTAGACTTTGTTTCCATAAAACACCACCAAAACATAAGGCTCTGCTCGGGATTTAGAGGAACAATCTCGGACCAAGAAAGTACCGTCCTGAAGTGAAAAGAGCGATGGTTATTTTCTCTGGCCTGGCAGGGCCCTGCCATTGTGGTGGGGCAACAGGGACGTTCATGGTGAATGACTTTGGGGTTTGGCAGACCAGCTCTTTGTTCAATTTAGTTCAGTAAGTACCTGTTGAGATCAGTATGTGTGAGGCATCTTGCTATTTTCTCAGAAATATGTCACACGGATCATGCCACTCCCTTCATCCAAATCTTTCATGGCCCCTGCTGTCCTCAGGGCCCTGCCTAAACCCTTAGCACAATGTTCATGGATAAAGGTGTCAGCCTGCCTTGTGGCTTAGTCTTTCTTCCATCACTTCCCCAGACCCCTGGCCCTGGATCCTACCTCAAGCCAAACTACCATTTTCTGCGGGCATCATGTTTTGGGGTCTCTGCTTTTGCCCGTGCTACACTCTGCCTGGAGTCTGTGTGTGGTGCAATGGTTAACATGTTCGAGTGCTAACGGAAAGGTTGGGGGTTCGGGCCACCCACAGGTGCCTTAGAGAAAAGGTCTGGCAATCTACTTCCAAAAAATCAGCCATTGAAAATCGGATGGAGCACAGTTGCACTCTGACACGTGAACTCACTGGCAACTCTTCTTTTCTTTTCCACCACTTTCTGCATACAGTTATTCTCCTTCCCACCTCCCCAGTGTCTCTCCTTGCTCTGTGAATGCTCTGGTATTTCCTGCTCTGCCTGAGATACCAGAGCCTTCATAGATATCATGGCCTTGCTGACCCCATGATTGCAAACTTCTAGCCTCCAGAACTGTGAGAAAATACTTGTCTGTTGTTTTAAACCACCCAGTTTGTGGTATTTTGTTAAGGTGGCCCTAGACGGTTTGCACTTGACTAGAGGTAGTGGGAGCCACCCCAGGCTGTGAGCAGGAGTTTTAGTGAAATAAATTGAGCCTCTGTGTTGGAGAGTAGGGTTTCTACATGAGTAGGGTCCAGGAAAGAGGCTTGGGGTTTGGGAGTCATTGATACAAAAATGAACTGAGAAATTGTTTGAAGGAGGAGAAAAAATCTAGGGCCAGGGGGCAGGGCAAGGAGAAGAAGACAGGAAAAGAATCTAAGGTGTCTGAGAGACAGAAGGTATACCAAGAGACTGTGGTAACACAGAAGCCATGGAAGGGTTAGTGAGGGTTTCCAAGAGAAACCAGACAGATTTGAGTGGTCTGAGGACTGAGCATAAGCAATGGGTCAGGCACCCTCCAGGGAAGTAAAAACCACCTGCTGTGGAGTTGACTCTGCTTCATGGTGACCCATGTGTGTCACAATAGAACTGTGCTTCACG